ACATTTGAAATTACTTACTATGGTTGAAATATACGATTAAGAAATTTTGGTTCTACATCTGTCTCCTCTCACTGGAATATAGCACCTGTCTCATCTGAGCACTTAGCTCGGAGCCTCAAACATTTTAGAATCTCAATAAGTATTTGGGGAATGATGGACGTGGTTCCATAGTGTAGCGGTTAGCACATCTGCTTTATATGCAGAAGTTTCTGGGGTTTGCTCCCCAGTGGAGCCAGGGTCCATGGTCTACAGCCATGCCACCATGAACAAGCCCAATGTCTGATCTCGGAAGCTAAGCAAGGTCGGGCCTGGTTAGTACTTGCATGGGAGACCACCTAGGAAGACCAGGTACTGTAGGCATAAATAATAATAAATAAAATAAAAAAGTATTTGAGAAATGAATAAATGGTCTTTAACTGATACCACTGAATGACTTGTCAATAAATATTGGTAAAATGTACTGACTTCTTATTAAGTGCCCACTACTGCACCAAACACTTTATAAAAATTATTTGACTTAACCTTTACAGTGCTCCTATGATATAAATGCTATTATTATCCCTACTTGGAGATAAGAAAACTGGGATAAAGAGGTGAAGTCATATGTTCAAGGCCACACAGCTGAAAGGGCTTACATTTTTTGAACTGTAGGTAACTGTTTTCTGAGCACTGTGTGTGACCCAGGGGACCTTGGGACCCAGCCTCCAACCCAGTTTATCATGACCCCTGCAGAGGGATATCTCTCTCTCCATTATCTGAGTCTCCTCCTCCTCAATTTCTTCCTCTAGAAAATGAGGATGATAGCAACAAAAGTATGTAATTATAATTGTCCTCCTTTATGGAGCACTTGCAGTGTGCCAGGCACTTTGTGTCTTCACAAGCACCTCATGTGAGCTTCACGAACACCTAGGAAAGGCACTATTAAAAGCAGACTTTCTGTAAAGCTAGTGAAGCTCAAACTTCAGGGCCTTGGACTTTCACGGACCCATTCAAGGCACTGGGAGAGGCCTCAGCAATATCTTCTTAGGAATATATATATTTTTTTAATTTGTGAAATGGAAATTTAAAACTACAATTCGTTAAGACGACTGTTTCCTCCCACTCTCATCCCACTTCCCAATGTGAATGATATCCAAGATACCCGGAAGTATGTGGGTGGTGGAGGAGAGACAAGGATATGTGTGGAACAAGAAGCAAAGATTCACAAAATCCTATCAATCATCACTAAGTTGTCATTTCATATTGACGCCGACTCAAAAAGGAAGTTCTCTGCAATAAGGAATATACAGCATATGCAATTATAAACACTCCATGAATAGTTTTCTTTTTTGATAGGAATTACACAAAGTAGAATTCATGAAAATTCCTACTATAAACCTATAGGCAGTAGTACAAGTAGTATATACATCTATGTGTGAAGGGGTATGTTTATGTATCCTGATGATCAAGAATAAAATTTTTTTGATCAACCATGCAAGAGAAAAGACAAAATCATCTCTCTATTCTCATTGTAGAAATTTATTTTTAAAAATCCTTGACAGCTCTACCTCCTCTTCTTCCTTTCTCTCTCAGAAAATTTCGGTATTAAGAATATTAAGTTGAACAGAACAAGGTAGAGGTATGCACCAAAGGGTGAGGGAGGCACAGTGGTCCAGAGCAAAAGTCAGAGCACCAGAATGGTGAGGAGGGTGTCCATGGAGCAGTGACCTGGCATGGGGTGACAGAGGCCCAGCAGGGTGAAGATGGAGTCCCTGAGTGAGAAGGGGCAGCCTGACACGAGGCATCAAAGCCCAAGTGGGGTTAATAGGGCATCTCATATAGGACGAGGTGGTGGTGGAGATGGGAGATTGGTTATAAACAGGGGCTTGATCCAATAAATTAATAAGTTAAGAATAATGGAAGCCAGATTTCTCAGTATCAGAAAGGGTGAAAACTAGAATAAACACCTTTATGGTGAATTAGAATTGCAGATAATAGTCTGAACTCCTGTTTTTTATTATGTATATATAGGTATAGAATTAATTATAAACATGTGTATGTGTGTGTGCGTGTGTGTGTGTGTTCACGCCCAGCTCTGGGAGAGCCGAGAAGCAGTGACACCCTAACAGCAATGAGCAGACCTTGGTTTCTAGATACAGCTGTCATGCCCGTGGTTTTTAAATACCGTTCTCCACTAAAAGATTGAATCAGAGTTTCTTGTAGTATTGATCGATTCCAGGGGCTGGAAAAAAGGACATCTTGTTATACCAGAAAATCAAGGATATTCAAAGAATGATGCGGAATGTCAAAAGGATATAGACTCTAGCTTGAAGGGGCTCCCATTGACCAAATCTTTGACAATCTGAGCGTCAAAATAAATAGTGATAGTAACAGATTACCAACCACTGAATAAAACAGGACACCATGAGTTCATACCAAAACACATAGACATGCACATTCAAAGGATGAGGGGAACAGCCACATAGTTTCAGAATGCCTCCTTACAAAATACTGATTCATTACAAAGGGTAAAGAGTAGCTATAGTGGAGAAGGCTGGCAGATATCCCTTAATCAAGTGAGCAAAGTAAACCATGGGACAAATGGAAATGTGTGCTGCCTGGTAGGATGTTTCATGAAGGACACAGCATCACTTCTGTGATATAGCTACTAAAGATATATACCTTGAATCTAATCATAAGGAAGCCTAGAACAAACCCAAATTGAGAGTCTTGCTAGAAAATAACTCTTCAAAAGCGTCAAGGTCCTGAAAGGCAAGGAAAGACAGGGAAAGTTTCCTGACTGACAAACTAAGGAGACATGACAAAGAAATGCAATGTGAGATTCTGGACTGAGCCCTTAAACTGTAATTAATTTCGATGGAGCATTTGGAGAAACTGAATGGGGTCTGAGATTAGATGTTAATGTCCTGATTTTGATGATTATGTCGTGGTTATATAAGAGAATGTCCTTGTCTGTAGGAATTACACACTAAAGTATTTGAGAGTTCTGGGGTATCAGGTTAGCAAATGACTTTCAAACAGTTCAAAGTAAAGAAGGAAAAAAAGCTCCCTGTACTGTACTTGCAACCTTTCTGTTTGTGATGGTTTCAAAAGAAATAGCATTGACATGTGAAGAGGCAAGCAAAGAGGGTACAGCTAAAACACGTAGGTAAATATTGTCAGGCAACTGATCAGTATTTTTGTTATTCACCTCGGTTTGTGATCTTTATGTTTTCTGTCAGCTTTTTTTAGTTTGTAATTGGTAGTGACTCATTTTTTCATTTTAAAATTCACTTTTATACCTAATTCCCTATTGTTAAAGAGGGCTCTCCAAATCGTATAAACTTCCATAAACCAATATCTACAAAAAACCAATATTGGCTTTTCTTGCCACCCTTTTAAGGATGAGGAAACTGAAGCACAGAAATACAAAGTGACTTGCCCAAGGTTGCTCACCTTAGTATTGGAGCAGGATTTGAACCCAAGCAGTCTGACTCGAGTCTGCTCTGAGAGGACGCTGTGAGGATTCAGTGAGAAAAAGGATGCAAAGGGAACTTTATACATAAGGATTAAAATAATTCACAATCAAATGAAAGATGTGTGCTTGTTTGTCTGCTGGGGCTTAGTTCCTTAGGTAGAGGAAATGGGGAAGACAAGTCCTCCTACTGTATGGCAGAAACTGCTTGGAAGTTGACAAGTAGGACTTCACTTTGTTCCCACAGCAGCCCTGCAGGCAGGCATTACTGTCCCAGATGAAGCTCCTCAGGCCACAGAGATTTGGAGATCAGCCCAAGGTCGCACAACTGGAAAGTGATAGAGCCAGGAGCAGAGGCCAGGGATGGTGATGGTTGCCCAGGTTGGGCTTGCCAAGGTCCACAGACAGGACACATCCAAGGACCGTCCCACTGCTCTCACACCCCATGCTCCACTGTCTGAGACAGATGCCCCAGACAGAGTTGCCATGTGGCTGAAAGCGGAGCAACGTTTCTGCCTAGATCATAAGTGGGCAACATCTGCAGACCAGGAAGCACCAAGGTGGGGATCCAGGTAGCCACCAACTCTGGGAAACTCAGGCCACACAGCTCTGGCTGCACAATTTGGGCAGTGGGTACAGGGAAACAAGCAAAGGCTTTGAAGTCAGACAGATCAGGGCTCTGTCTCTTCTTAGTGGCATGAGCTTAGACACTCTTTGAGTCTCAAACAGTAAAAATCTTGCCTTATAGGGAAGCTCTGAATATTAGGGTGGAAAGTACTCGGCACATAGTAGCTGTTCAATAAACAGCAGCCATATATCATTTTCATTCTATGAGGGGTTCTCAGCAGATATGGCCTTTTAGAAGCTTTAGAAATCCAAACTGAGGAGAGAGACTTTTCAAGGATCTTATTTCTGCAGGGCCCCCAGAACTGGACCCAGAAGAAGAGGCCTCATAAACTGTACAATGGACAAAGTCCTCCCAGCCTCCCAGGGTCCTGGCTCCCTTCCCTGCAGCCTGTTTCTTATGAACAACAGGAGGTGGGCCCCAAGGTTAGGCAAACAAGCCAGCGATAAGGCACTTCCAGGTTGGGCCTTGCGTTCAAACCCAGTCCAGCTTTGGGACTGACTTCCCAGCTTAGTGAAAGTCCTGCAGGCACCAATAGGGACACCTGCCATGGCCACCTGCTGATTGTGCACCTGAGGCCTTGGTGCCCTGGTACAGCCTGGGTTAATGACCCTGTTTGTCTGCTTGAGTCATCCGATAAGGGACAGCTGGGCCAGTGGACAGGCGGCCCCATGCCCTACAGCACTTCATTGACTAAAGCGATATCAGGGCCACGTGAAGCTTCCAAGGCCCCCTCCCCCGGCACTTCCCCACAGGTCCTTCCAGGGTCAGTATGTTTCTTTTTTTTTTTCAATGAACATGACTTCTGGAGTCAAGGTTGTCGGCTGTTCCCCGCTCCTCCCCACTGGGGATATAAATAGCACCCACAGTGCAGAGCAGAGGGCGGGAGAGCTGGGAGGAAGGAGGATCAGATCCTTAACCATGAGCTCCAGTCAGCCGGAGACCTGCCCATGCCAGGGTGCTGCAGGCCGCCCAGCCATTCTGTACGCACTTCTGAACCCCAGCCTCAGGGCCGGGCCCTCTGCGCCCCAAGCCCGTAGTCATTGCCTGTGCAGGCAGCACCGGCCTGTCCAACTGTGTGCCCCGAATCGCACCTGCCGAGAGGCCTTGGATGTTCTGGCCAAGACGGTGGTCTTCCTCAGGAACCTACCATCCTTCTGCCTGCTGCGCCAGCAGGATCAGCGGCAGCTGCTGCGGGGTGGCTGGGGCCCCCTCTTCCTGATGGGGTTGGCCCAGGACACTGTGACCTTTGAGGTGGCGGAGGCCCCGGTTCCCAGCATACTCAAGAAGATCTTGCTGGAGGAGCCAAGCAGCAGTGCAGGCAGTGGCCAGCTGCCAGATCGACCTCAGCCCTCACTGGCTGCAGTGCAGTGGCTTCAGTGCTGCCTGGAGTCCTTGTGGAGCTTGGAGCTGGGCCCCAAAGAGTATGCCTACCTAAAAGGGACCATCCTCTTCAACCCTGGTGAGCTCCCGGACACTCCAGGATGAGGGCCAAGGCTGGAGGGGGGCAAGGCCCAGCCAGGGAAGGCACCTTCTAAGGGTTGCACATTCATTATCTCTTTGGGTCCTCCTTATCGCCAGTCATCTCACAAAAGAGGCTCAGAGAGGCTAAGTGACTTGCTAAAGGTCACACAGCCAGGTAGGGGCAGAGCAGGGATGGGAACTCAAGATCAGTTCACATCAGAGATTAGCCTTTGCCACTCTGCCCTAGGAGCTTGCCCTGACCCTCAGGGAAGGTGGGAGTGAGGGAGGGGAGGGTGGGCAGACGCAGATGTGCCTCAATCACAGGTAAAACTGTGTGTTCAGAAAGACCACATGGTAAAGAAAGATAAAAATAGGAGGTGTGGGGGAGAAGAGGGAGGAGTCTATAAAATTCAGCCAGGAGAGCAACAGATGGAGGTAGTGGTCTTTGTAATCTGGAGAGCATCTAGATGAAAATTCCTCACCAAGAGGTCCTGAAGGAATGCATAAATTACCATAATGAATTATAATAATAGTAGCAAAATACTTGTATTGTACTTACCATATATTAGACTCAATTATATGGTTTTACATATACTAGCTCATTTAAATCTCATAACAAGCCTAGGAGATAGGTACCATTATTACATCCGTTTTATAGATAAGAAAACCAAGGCACAGAGATGAGATAACTTGCCCACAGCTAATAAGTGACAGCTTGGCTCTTCACCATTACCCTACACGGCCTCTCCATAAATAGATGGATAAATAAGTAAAAGGAGTAGGTAGTGATGGGGCCTTAAAGGCTGAGTCTGGGGCCAGTCTCGCCCTGTGGTGACTTGGAGTGGGATGCTCACCAGCCCTCTTCACCCTCTATCCACAGATTTGCCAGGCCTCCATGCCACCTCCCATATCTGGCATCTGCAGCGAGAGGCTCATCAGGCACTGTGTGAGGTCTTGGAGGCCTGGTGCCCCGCAGGCCAAGGCCGTTTAGCACATGTCCTTCTCACAGCCTCCACCCTCAAGTCCATTCCACCCAGCTTGCTTGAGGACCTCTTCTTTCGCCCTATTGTTGGAGAAGTTGACATCGCTGGCCTTCTTGAGGACATGCTTTTACTGAGCCGACCTGCTCCAGCCCAAGCAGAGATCAAGTGTAGCTTGGACAGTAGCTTGAAGCGCTGATTCAGCACATCCGTCCCCAGGGATGACCTAATACTCCCAGAGGGGGCAAGCCTGTGCAGACAGCACTTGGCTCCCCAGGTGCAAGCTGGCCCTGGCCCAGCCAGATGGACCACTTGGCCCCCCACTCATCCACACCCCATCTGAGTAATAAGGCCTGCCTCGACCAGGCCCCACCCCCTTCACCACCACAGTTTGGATTCTTCTGAGCCTTCCTTGATTTGGACGCAGTGCTCAAGCTCTCTGGCTGGCCCTTGGTGGACTCCAGAGCCATTGGGCCAAGACTCCTGTCCTCTCCTGGGATACAGATGAAAGCTTAGACTTCTATTGGACCAGAAATCCTACTGACTTTGTACAGAATTGACTTAAGTTATTGGTTTTTGTAATAAAAGTTTTGACACCCCTGAAGCCTGACACTGTAGTTTATGCATGTGGAAGGAACCATCTCACCTCCAGGGTCCACCCTGCCCCCAACAGAGGGATTCCAAGGGGAAGGAGCCATAAGGGGTGCAGGAGCCATGCCTCAGAGAACTGGGATATTAATTTTCAGAGTGGGATGATGATTTCATTGCTGGGGATGAGATTTATTTTGCACAGGTCTAAATCCGGGGGATAGAATTAGTTCAGGACCCCATCACTTCTTTGCCTTTATCTTTGGGAGAAGAGGTTTCTCTTTGTCCCCTCACTGACCCCTCCCTCAAGCCCTGCCCCCTATAGACTCCCTTGTAGCCAGTAAGAAAAACATAGCGGCCCATTCCCAAATTGAAACAGACAAGGTCACTGGAATTTCTGTAGTTTGGCATCATTCACCTCCCCCATGCCTGCAGCTGATAGAAGAGCATGGTCCATTGTTCTTCCAATGGGAGAGGGCGAGAACATCCAGGGGTGACCTGGTGGCTGCTTGAAGACCAAGACAAGCCGAGGTTTAGCCGCCACACTAGCTGTTAAAGTCTGAAACACTTCCATGACAGGTGGTTCACGCAGCCATTGCCCTGAGTCCCCTTCCGCTGCCTCTCTGTCCCAGTGCTTCTCCTGGAATCCATTCCCACTGTCCAGCAACTGGAGGGGCAAAGCTGGGCATAGCCATGGGCTCCATGACTGCTCCATTCAGCACACAGCTTGTGTCTGTTCTGATTGGTCAACCTCTGTTCCTCACTGTTTGTTAAATATTTTGAATATCGCTCAGGTCAGGGTGACTGACCTGCCGGGTGGTCAGGAGGGAATGATAACAGCACACATGCCCATAGGACCCCCTTTCAGGCCTCCCCTTTCTCTAGTAATAAGGCCTGCCTCGACCAGGCCCCACCCCCTTCACCACCACAGTTTGGATTCTTCTCACTGGGGCCAAGTTAATTATTGCTCAACAAGAGGTCATTCATTCAAGGACAACAGTCAAAGATTCGAGGTGTCATTCAGTCCTATCCCTAAGGCCCCAGGAAAGGGACCACAGCTGAATTGGCCATGTACCCATTATGGGAACCCAGTGCCAGCAACAAGGGCACCCCTGTCCCTTACTCTATCACCTATTCATGACTCGGACTCAGAATGGGACAGAAACACACAGCTCAGACCTCACCATAAAGACACACACAACTCAGACCTATAGCTCTCTCACACACACTCAGACACATCTACACAGACCCATGAAACAGACCCTCCATTCACCCACACACACCATGGAAATACAGATACTCTCACCCGACAACATACAACAGGACCCAAACACATTCACACCACAGAGACCTGCCCCCCGGGCCAGATGATTACACGTATACTCCTGTGCCAAAGGGTGGGAGACACAACACGGAGATACCCTCACACCAGGGTGCATTCTCCATCTTCTGTGTGTCACAGGAAAAGGAAAAATGGCCCCCAAAGTAGGCAGACCTGCATCTGCACATCTCCTCACAGCCTGCAGGTCCAGGCCAAACTGCCCTGCCTGGCATTCAGAGCTTCGACTAACCAATCATCCATCCCCTTTCCACTCTCCTCACAGCCAGGCCATGCCCTGCTCAACTCCTGTTTGATTAGCCAGGACCTAATCAAACTCCCAAATAGAGGGTTTGAGCCCAGAGAGCTTTAGAGCCCAGAACAAGTCCTCCATCTCCCCCACCCCCTCGCTTCCCAAAACCCCCAGACCCAGCCCTCAGGCCCCCAGGCACATCTCCCTGCCCTCCCCTTCCCAGCACTTTGGCACAGGCCGCCCCATCACACCTTGTTTTGTAGCCGCCAGCCCCTGAAAGACACACGGACCACCAGAACTCAGTGAGTTATAGGAAACACGCTCTTTATTCAGCCAGCTGGGTCTGCCAGGGGTACGCAGACCCCAAATTAAGCAGCCCTGAAATGTAGAGGTACAGGATTTTTAAGCCCAAAATCCCATTCTTCATTCTGTCTGAACACAAAGGGCTATTTTTTCTTCTATTCTCTATCTGTCGACCCACAGGTCGGGGGTGCA